TTAAACTTTAAAAAAATTATTTCATAACAACTACTTAACCAATCATACAATATAAACTTTAAAATTTCAATATAAATGTAAAAAATAAATGACCAGAAAAAAATTCATCAACAAAACTAAAAACTATAAGAAATTTTCTAATAAACACCAAAATTCCTAAAAAAGACAACTATAAAATTCAACAATAAAGCATTGACCAAAGACCACTTTCAACAATTTACTAGAGAACCTTCTTGTAATTCTCTAATCTAAAAACTACAAGAAAATTCATCAGTAAACTACTTAAAGACCCAAAAACAGTTCAAATCCAGGAAAACTCAAAAAACACATTAATAAAATGCTAAAAAACCAGAAAAATTAGAAACCTAGAAGACCAGGAGAGTCCACAAGAAATACAAAGAAAATTAATTAGTAAAATCTGAAAGAACAGAAAAAAACCTAACAACACAATAAAATTACCAGAAAAGCTCAAAAACCAGGAAAATACAAGAAATTTTACCAAAAATCATCAAAAGAATTAAAGACAAAGACAATTAATTAGTAAAATTTTAGAAAAACAGAAAAAAAAACACAATTAAAATTACCAAAAAAGCCAGAAGGCTAGGAGAGACCACAAAAAATCCTACAAGAAATCATCAAAGACCTAAAAACATAAAAAATTAATTAGTAAAATCTAGAAGAACAGAAAAAAACTCAGTAGCACAATTACAATTACCAGAAAAGCTAGAAGACCAGAGAGACCACAACAAATTTCACCAGAATTATCAAAAAATCTAAAGAAAAGAAAATTAATTAGTAAAATCCAGAAGAACAGAAAAAGCTCCAACAATGCAATTAAAATTACCAGAAATCTGAAGACCAGGGGAGACTACAAGAAATTTCACCAGAAAATCGCTAAAAGATCTGAAGACAGAAAATTAATTAGTAAAATCCAGAAGAACAGAAAAAAAAACCCAACACAATTAAAATTACCAGAAAGCCAGAAGATTAGGGAAGATCACAAGAAATTTCACCAGAAAATTGCTAAAAAACCTGAAGACATAAAATTAATTAGTAAAATCCAGAAGAACAAAAAAAAACCCAACACAATTAAAATTACTAGAAAGCCAGAAGACCAAGAGAGAAACAAGAAATTTTACCAGAAATTGACGAAATACCTGAAGACAGAAAATTAATTAGTAAAATTCAGAAGAACAGAAAAAAAAACCAATATAATTAAAATTACCAGAAAGCCAGAAGACTAAGAAAGACCACAAGAAATTTCACCAGGAATTGATGAAAGATCTGAAGACAAAGAAAATTAATTAGTAAAATTTGGAAGAACAGAAAAAAACTAACAACTTAATTAAAATTACCAGAAAGCCGAAAGACCAGGGGAGACCAAAAGAAATTTTACAAGAAAATTGCTGAAAGATCTGAAGACAAAGAAAATTAATTAGTAAATTTGGAAGAACAGAAAAAACCCAATAACACAATTAAATTATCAGAAAAGCTAGAAGACCACAAAAAATTTCACTAAAAAATCATCGAAAGATCTGAAGACAAAGAAAATTAATTAGTAAATCTAGAAAAACAGAAAAAAAAAACAACAATTACAATTACCAGAAAAGCCGGAAAACCAGGGAGACTACAAGAAATTTCACTAGAATCGTCGAAAGACCTAAAGAAAAAAAAATTAATTAGTAAAATCCAGAAAAACAGAAAAAACCCTAACAATACAATTAAAATTACCAGAAAGCCGGAAGACTAGAAGAGACCACAAGAAATTTTACCAGAAAATCAAAAGACCTGAAAACAGAAAATTTATTAGCAAAATCTAGAAGAACAGAAAAAAACCCCAATAACACAATTAAAATTATCAGAAAGCTAGAAGACCAGGGGAGATTACAAGAAATTTCACCAGAAATCGACAAAAGACCTGAAGACAATGAAAATTAATTAGTAAAATTCGGAAGAACAGAAAAAACCAAACAACACAATTAGAATTACCAGAAAACTGGAAGACCAAGGGAGATCACAAGAAACTCACAAGAAAATTGCTAAAAGACCTAAAGACAAAGAAATTAATTAGTAAAATCTGGAAAAACAGAATAAAAACAAATAACATAATTAAATTACCAGAAAAGCCAGAAGACCAGGGGAGACTACAAGAAATTTTACCAGAAAATTGTCATAAGATGTGAAGACAGAAAATTAATTAATAAACAGAATAAAAAAATTTTCTTACAATATTTGTTGAATCATTATCCACTAGCACTAGATTTAAAGACAAGAATTGAATCGTTGTATGAAATTTTCTAATGTTATTTTTAGATCATAATTTTGAAAGATCACATGGTAAGCTGCAGTTTTTAAAACCTGATTTACTCAAAATTGTTTATATGTAAAAATGGTCCCTTTTCATATAAGACACTTTATATAAAGCTGGATTGCCATGATGTACATATAGTGTAGCCAGGTAGTTGTTGAGAAATTTTAGAAATAAGTGAATTGTAGTAGATTCTCTATATAAATGAAGTGATAGTTTCTCTTTGGTCAATTTCATTTTGAATAGTTAGTAGTTAGTAAAGCCAAGATTAGTAATAACTTTATTTTATCAGTTTGTAAGAAGGTTAGTAAGAATGTTAATAAAAGGCTGGGGTATGCAGATTCTGCTAAAAGATTTTTGAAATAAGCTAAAGTTAACAGAGTTAAAGGCTTTGCTCATATTCTGTAATAGGATCCATAGTTGGTTGGAGTTGTATATTGTATCTTCTATAATATTTTTTAAAATATAAATTAGAATCAAGGTGTCTAGAAGTGTAATATAATTGAAGGGGGATAGGATTTCTTTTGTAGATAGAGTATTGTTAAGATAGTTGGTGAGGAGCTTAGTATAAAGCTTTTTAGTATGTTCAATTAGACTTATAGACTTGGTATTAACTAGGTTGCTATCAAAAATTAGTTTTTTAAAAATAGAATAGATTCTTCCTTCATTTTACTACTTGAAAATTGTATATAACCAAAGGTATCAGTTGAGAAGTATTATGATGGCTTGTGTAAAGCTAGGGCTAGCATATTTGAGCATTTTGTAGCTTATTTCAAAAGATCCATAGGCTTTGTTGTTAGGTAACTGGCTAAAAGTAGTAAGTACTTCTTCTTGAAAAAAGTTATTAAGTATATCTAAGTACTAGTTTTGCTGTATATTAGATTTGGGATTATATTCTGTTTGCTAATCTGAGTTAAAAATATTTTGATTAATAGAATAGAGAGCTGTCTAGTTGCGAAAGTGCTATTAAATATAGAGTTTAATATCTATTGGATCAGTAATTAGATCCTGATTGAGTTTGATATTATCAAACTTTACAGAATCTCTATGCTAGTTTAAAATACTATTTAGCATAGAGATAAAACTGATTTGGAGTTTGGTACAACTTTTAGAAATTGCTACTGTTATTTGTTGGTATATTTGTTTAATATTTTCTAGATTATATTTGTGGTATAGCTTTTTTTATTTAGAGTTAGCCTTGGTTATTCAATCTGTAGAAAACTGGGCTAGTATTAGGGTATTTCTAAAAGATGTGTATTATTAAGCCAAATTATTGTGTTATTAAAATAAGTTGGGTTTGATGGCTATGCTTGGTAGAGTGCTTAATAGTTCTTATTATATTGCTAAGCTTTTTAAGACTAAAATGAAGCTAGGTAGCCTTGGGTAAAAAGGTGTGTTAGAAGTTGCAGACTGTGTATTTTTTATTAGAAATATATTGCAAAGCTGCTGTAATTAGACTAGTTTAGATTTTATACCAAGTGGTCTCTAGAGATTTAGAAGTTGTAGTTGTAAGGTGTGTGTAGTTTGATACTAGATTTAGGTTGACCTGCTAAGCAAAGGCATCTTACTGTTCTTGGTTTATGGATTTGTAGTAAAAAATTCTTCTTCAGATGTGTGTTTTGTGTCTTAGTTTTTCTGTAGTAGTTTAAGAGAAAAGCTAATAGGAAATTAAAATTTTGTAATTACTAAAAGTGCTAGTGTTAGGGTTATCCATTATATATTCAGTAAAGTATTGAAGAATATATTAATATAGGTGTGGCGACTTAGTGAAGTGGTGGAGTTGTCGCACCCCCAAATGGCAGGTCTAGAGTTTGAATTCCACGGATGACGATTTTGAAAAAACTAGATCTGTAACAGTTAATGTTAAAATTATCTGTAATCTTGGTCACACTATCTTGAATGGGAGCTTTGGTGTAATAAAATCTATGAAACCAGAATTACTGAAAACCTATTTGGCAAGTCCCGAGTTGGGAGTAGCAGTGATCTTTGATGGTTCTACAGTAAAACTGAATTTGGAACCAGAAACTAAGACCGGAGAACCGAGCGACTAGGTCCTTAAGTGGGGGACACACCAGCTGAACCGCCGGCTCGTTACTGGAGGAAAAGAACTTGTGCTCCAGAAGCATGTACCAAGGGGAGGGAGACCATAAGGCACCTAGAGCCTGGGCAGACCAACCCTTCTGG